AATTTCAATATCCCTTTTCTTGGATACGCCGAAATCTTCTTCTTCAGGATCCTCTTCAGAATCCCACTCTTCACTTCTCTCCTCTTTGAACACAACTGAAATTGTGTTGGTCCCGATAAACGGTGACCTACCACCTACACCTTAATCCTTCCTTGGCGTATACTTTCTAAGCAATGCTAATCTTGGAACTAAACCTTCAATTCTAAGTTCTGTTTCTTGCAAAGAACTCGACAACATACTCCTTTACTCCGTTAGGTCCGTATCGCTTTCGTCGTGGACCCCATCCTCCTCCTAGTGTCAACCATTCCATAACTATGGAATAAAATTGACATCCGTTCCTCCTAACGATCCGTAACAAGAGTACAACGAATCCTAACATGGCTCTAAGTTTTAAGAGACGCAACGCAGAAGTCTTATAACGAAAACACTCCTAAGGACACTAGAACCTGGAGTGCTCTGATACCAACTGTGATACCCCCGAATTTTCGGATGCGGGTTGGCCAGGCCCACGCCCGATTACCCGAGGATATCAAAACAATTAGCAATTTAATGAACACAGAATACAATATAGAGAACAAGAATAAATAAAATTTTGCTGAAAAGAACCTAAAATGATAATCCAATAATTGAAAACCTCAAAATAAATAATTTCATTGATAATTAAACTATTTTTGATACAACTGATCCACCAAGAATGGAAATCGTTCTCCAATGTATACAACTCGGGAATCCATCTAGTGGACCCCTAAAAACCAATGGTACTCAAAAGACTGGAACAAAACCCAAGTCTTAACATGAAATAAAATCCTACGCCATCAGTAGAGTGAATAACTGTATCTGCTCAGCACGATCAAGCTCTACAGCCCCGAACTGACGAACACCTGAAAAAAATGATAAAAGGGTGGGTCAGGCCCACTAGCAAGTTCTAATCTAACTGCAATCCATACAGTGACCTGATACGCAGATACACCATAGATACCTCACAATATCTATTTAGTCCATACATATATATATCCACACTATGGGACATTCACTGAACTACAGTAGGGGTCTCAACCTGAATAGAAGGCAACATGCGAATACGCACCCAAAGGTGGGCATGAGTACCTAGACCTAACAGGGTACACCCAACCTACTATAACCAGTTACACGTCCACTGCATATACGCACCCTAACCAACAAGTTTGAGACTCAAGCTCAACTCGTGGTACCATAAACATATATATCTAAACTCCGTTCCTAACCATTCACAAGAAATCCAATAAGTCATTCGGCGTATTCAACCGTACCGACTTATATATATATAAGGAGGATTTATTTAACAACCCGTTCCCTTATTCCAAAACAGGTAGGACTGAGTATTTTAAATCAGTCTGTCACTAGTATGCCACCGTCCCATACCGGTGCATACAATCCACAAAGTCCATATAATTGATAGAACCAGTCATACTGTTCACCAATTAAAATCCCTAAGGTAGGAATTAGCATTTTGAGCTAAACCATACCCAGTATGCCACCGTCCCATACCGGTGCATACCATCCTCCATATCCATGTAAATTACAACATTCAAATGATAAGCAAGTAATTTACAATGCAAAACCAAACCCAGATAATTGACAGAATTTTAATGTGAGAATTCAGCAATTAAAATCCAATACATAATTCCAAATAATTGGTCAAATTTAATATAAGAATTCAGCAATTATAATCCAATATATGATTCCAAATAATTGACCGAATTAAGTATAAGACTTCAGCAATTATGTTCCAATACATAATTCCAGGTAAATTACAAGGCATAAATAATAAGCATGTAATTTATAGTCCAAAACCAACCATCCACATCGTTGTAGAATAGTATTTAGTATTTCAACAACTTAAAACCAAAACCATGTAAATTACAGACTACGAATGATAGTACAGCAATTTAAAATCCAAAACCAATATCCAATTAATTACAGAAGATTTTTAAATGTTTCAGCAATTTAAATCCAACCAATTAACCATATAGTTGCAGGGGATGAATTAATAAATCAACAACTAACTTCCAGAGCCTGCATAGATTACATCTAACACATCAATGACCCCATAATATATTTAAGACCATTTTATAAATATATTACATCCCACTGGAATGCCTAAAAATAAGCTTAAGCATTTAAAACTTCATTCATCCACCAACCGTATACAATTGTACATAAGTGTTATACAGTTCGATCCGTTAATTTAGAATTAACCTTAAATTAATTTAGGGTCTTAATAACACCCAAAAATTAACTATTTAATCCCCCGTGAAGTCTTATTAAATTTCTAAAATTTAATCAAGCCATTTAGTTCCTTTCTCTGTTAGTAGCATACACCGTGGTATATTTTTACACTGCTTCATCCTTTGTCTTAAAGACTTAAACCATGCAATATTAAGTTTAATAACACTTAAAATTAACTACTTAGATCCTCTGTTAAGTCCCTACAGTTCATTAGAATCACTCAAAAGCTCAAACAGTGCTCAAAACACCAAACAGAGCCCTAAAACCACTTTCTGGACGTAACAACAAATTGGAGCCGGCTCTTGGAATGGAGGAGCCGGCTCTTCCCCTATTGGAGCCGGCTCCAATCCCCTAGGAGCCGGCTCTTGCTGAAGGGGAGCCGGCTCTTGACTTCCTAGAGCCGGCTCTCTCCCTTTTGAGAGCCTCCAGTTCATCCCTGCTCCGTTTCCGTCAATCTGCTCCTTCTCTGGTCAGTCCCTACCCTTCTGTTTATTTCTTAAACTGATCTTAAGGGTTTATTATCACTCTATTAACATCTCCAAGGTTTGATTACAATAATTTAAAACAATTACAAAGCTTAAGGTTGCTATTGAACTTACCAAGCTTCCAGTATCAAAACTGAAACTATATGCAGAAACAGAAACGGAACAGATTGCACACATATTTAAAACAGAATAATAACATCCCTATGAGTTCTGTATAACCCCAGTAGAGTTCCTATATTGTGTATACAAGAGTTGCAGTCAAATACAGAAACTAAGGCTACGATGGAAACCATACGCTTAAAGTACAGAAACTGAAACACCACTTGCATACACTGTAACAGATATTGAACACATATAGACCAACAATATAACACGTAATAAACATATTAATTCCAGTTTCTGCTTGATTAAACCCTAGAGATTATCTAGGTGCACAGAACACGGCCCAAAGGGAAAGAGGAAGATAGAACTTGCCTTTGTAATAGTTGGTCTGCTTTCCTCTGTTCTGGCCATACTGAATTACTGCTTAGCCTCCTATTACTTCTGTGTTTCCCTTCTCCTAGGTTTGGCTTTGAAACCTCAGTCGAGAACTCACAATTTGCTCTGTTATCTCAACCCTTACTCTGCATCTCTCTGTGTTTTGCAGAACCCTCTACGTGTATATGCTATGTGATATATCGTAAAACCCTAGCTTAACGCATAATGGAGTATTTATAAACTAAATACTAAAACCCTAATCCTTGTCACATCGAGATAAAGCCCTAAACTTAATCCGAGTTTAGTTAGATATCAGATGCTTATGAGACGGCTCCAAAAACCCTAACTAAAACGTATCTAAAACCCTAGTTAATGGAAATTACATAATTACCCTATTCAAAAATTAAATACTTAATAAACAATTAATTTAAACCCATTAATTAAATCAAATAAGGAAGCAACGAATCACTTAAAACACATAAAATAAATAAAACAAGTAATTAAAATAAACCAACAAATAAAGAATTACACCCTTAATTAAAATAAACAATAATAAATCAATTAAATCAAATTATCCAATTAAGTCAATTAATGCAAATAATGTTAAATAATTCAACTAAGACAATTAAACAAAAATAATAAACGCAAATAAATAATTAACAAATAAATCAATTAATACACACAAATAAACATTTATTCATAAAATTAATAAATAAAATAAAAATGCACATAAAATAACATTTAAATTCCAATTTTATCCCTTTTTAAAGTAGGGGTATTACAAGTCCTCCCCAACCCATTTGGCCTTTTTGATCTCTTAGATAAAGAGACCCCTCTGCTTTTCAAGCCACATGATAATGGGTTATAGGTTTTGAGTGAAACTATTGATTCAAATTCCGGTAATTTTAGTAATTTGTGCAATGGATTTTGCGAATTTTGATCTCGATTCGTGCTCAGCTCGGCTGTGGAAAAATCGGCCGGTGGAGACAATGGCAGAGAGCTTGGATTGGTGAAGATGGAAGGCGTGCAAGAATCGGCCGGCTGTGGAGAGCTTGGCTGTTGGCTTGGTTGTGGAGAGCTTAGGGCGGTGAGCAGCGGGCTGTGATGGTGAACTCGTGGCGGCTATGATGGTGAACTTACGGCGGCTAGCTCGGCTTTGATGGTGTCGGCTGTGATGGAGGCGGTGGTGAGCTCAGAACGGGGAGGTCAGCGGATGAGGCAAAAATAATGCTGACCATACCCTATATTAGGGGCTGAGGAATTTAACCTACCCATTCCTAGAAATAGAAATCTAAATAGTCATTTTGACTTGTGAAGCGAGATTGCCAAATCGAAAGCAAGGAGGCCATAGTAGGATTTCGGATGGAGAATGATAAATTTCTCAACTAAACTCCCAAGCCACTGGTGGCACCCAATCATGAGATGGACTGTCTTATAGAAGAATAGCCATACATTTTTCCAATTTAGTAATTTACTTACTCTGTTCCCAATTCCTTGAAACAAAACAGACCCATTTTCTTTTGGAAAGGTCACGGCTTCAATTAGGAGGAGATTATAATATGTTTACGATCCCTCCAAAGGGAAGGAGTATAACAGTTGGATTGTTTCTCTTCTTCCTCAGAGACCGTGGTGTTCAAATAATTGAGAGCTCAAATTTCTACATTACCTATATCAAATTACTGGGGGAAGCAAAATTTGTTTATTTGAAAATTTTTTCCATTGTCCGAACAATCTATACAAGAACATAAGCCATATATATATATATATATATAGAGAGAGAGAGGAAGGGAGAGAGGAGATAAGAGCTATGTTCATCTCGTGCGTCCCAAAATTCTTTTTTTTTTTTTTTTCGTTCAGGCCACATTCTAAAGAAGATCAACAGTATAAGGGCGTGTTTGGGTTGTTTAAAAGGGATGTGGATTTAATTGTTAAAATAACGGGCATTAGCGTCTTTTCAAGGTCACGAGGGCATTATTGTCATTACAATTATAGTGTATATCATGTGACCATCACGTGTTCACTTTAACAGTAAGATCCGACTGGAACAGTGACGGATGAGACTATCTGCAACAAAAATGCATAGGCCTTGGGTTAGTTGCATGCATAGGCCTTGGGTTAGTTGCAATTTTAGTAATTCAGGGGTTAATTGTTGATTCTCTAATAGTTTAGGATTTTTTTTTTTTTTTTTGGACACTTTTCCCTAAAATAAATACTAACATTAGGTAAAAAAAAAAAAAATCCCTTCCTTTTCACTTGTTCCAAACACACACCAATTAGCTTACTTGGCCAAAAAGAAAAAACCCAAACATTTCCTATATATAAACCCATCCCTTCACCGTCTCTATATCCTGACACCCAAAATCCCTAGAAATCAAGCTCCAACAATGGCATCTTCCAGATCCCTCATCTCAACCCTCTCTCTCATGAGGAGGCTCTCTCCACTGAATCTGAATACATCTCCAGTTTTGATTCGTTCCTTCAGCAAATCTACCCATCCAGAAACCAGTTCTGAGTCCCACTCCAAGTCCGATTCAGATACTCCAACAGACGGTTCAGAGCCTTCTCGCAAGAGTAAGAAAAAAAATCGATCCATCGAATGATTAATTTTTGTTGTGTTGAATTTGATTGATGATTTGATTCCTTTTGTGGTTGAGTTTGTTTCAGTGTGTCCCCTGGTGAATCGGTTCCTGAAAGAAGGGCCACCCCAGCCCTACAGCGAGCTGAGAGACGACGACGCCCTGTATGCGAGGCTGGACATGCCGGGGATCGGAAAAGGAGGGCTGAAGATGTGGGTTGAAGACAACTCTCTGCAGATCAAAGGAGAGGAGGAGGTGGACGAGATGGACGGTGATGATCCTCTGGTGGCTCCGAGGAGGTATTCCGGCGACATCGACCTCCCTCGGAACGCCTACAAGGTGGATGAAATTGACGCGGCGCTCAACAATGGTGTCCTCATGATCAAGATCCCAAAGATCAAGCTGGAGGACAGGAAAGATGTCTTCACCGTCAATGTCAAATGAGATTGTTTCCACTGTCCCTGTTTGGGGAAACAGGGTTTCTTAATGTCTTGTTAGGGTTTATGAAGTTTTAAAGAGAATTATATCTCTTGATTTTTGCTGGATAACATTGATGGAACGTTTATAATGAAAGCTTATGATTTTGTATCAGAAATTGGCTTCTGTTTTATTGTTATATTCTTATCTCTCTGTATGCTAACACTTTATGGAAGTAGAAAATATTGTTTAATTGCTCTATTACTAAAAAAATTTAAGAGAAACAAGTATGTAATATATAAATTAGCCAAAAGAAATTAATTTATGAAAAAAAAAAAAAAAAAAAAAAAAAAAGTTAAACGAGGGAAGAGAAATTATATGTTAATTTTGTGATTTTTTTACCCTGATGGTAATGTCAGTAGTTCTTTTTCAAGGCCTTCAATGGCACTAGCTGTTGCTTTGCAACAAAACTAGCTCTGTTGCTTTGCTTTTGTTGCATAGACTTCTCAGCACCCAAGAAAAAATTAGGGCTTATAGGACTTTTTTGTTTGTTTTTTGGAAAGATATTTTTGACATTGGAGAGGCAGATTTGAATTTAATTTCATGTACTTTGCATAGACCATGTCAGTCTACTATACACAAAAATGGAATTTAAGAGAAGATAGACTTTAGGAGTGACAGAGGTGGAAGGGTCTCATTTTTTTCCATTTGGTTCATAAGACTCTAACATTTTAGAAGATTCTTTCTCCCAAAACCCTATATATATATATATATATATATATATACACAGAAGATTGGACTGGTCCTAATGGGAAATTGGATTGGGCTAGATGTATAAATAAGAAAAAAAAAAAAATCTCTTTAATCAAAGGAGAATTGCTCAAAACTCTTACAATCATGTACTACATTAGTAGTTTAAAATGCATGTATGAACATAGATAACTCATTAAATACTGAATAAAGGTTCAAGCTCAATAAGATTAATTAAAGAAAAATTATTGCAACCTCTCCTTTAATGATGACTTTCTATTTACCCAATTAAGTTTATTTGATAATTAATTTGAATATTACTGAAAATAGAAAGCGACCCTTAAAATAAGATAAAATTTTAAGTGACACGGTATCACTCATCACTCAATACTAAACATTGAAAATTAAAAAAATATATCAAAAATTATTTATTTTTTAATAATTACCATTTAAAATTTTTTAACACTTAAAATTCAGCTGTTAAAATTTTAAATACTGTTATAAAACAGCACCTTAGTGTCCTCTTTTTAGTCCTTCAATTATCATGATGATCTATTTATCGGGGCTCCCCCGAAGCACTTGAATTGTTACATCTAATACAGAGATGATTGCCAGGGAAGTAATTAGCAAAACTGAATTGTTTTATGAGGCCTGTTCGTCATTTTTTTTATGAGGCCTGTTCGTCATTTTTTTTTTTTGTTTAGACTTGATGTCTTCTGTGGCCCTTATGTCCATTGGGCCTTTGCCATTGGGCTTTGGATATGCCCCCAAATACTTTTGTAAATTCTGTTTCATTTTTTTTTTTTTTGGAATTTGGATTGGACCATCAATCACTTCAATTCTTTTTCTTGTCAACTCCAGGTGAAATTAATATTCCAAAATTCACCATCATAATAAATTTAGGAGTACTCATATTAATTTATTCACTAAAATGCTTTATTGTCTAGACTGTAGTGGTATTTACTATTCATTGTAAAGTAATAGAAAGTAAATTGCTGTACAAACTTGATACATGTATACTAAAAGATATAAATATATTTTTAAGACAATTTTCAACCACATACTTGATACATGTACAAATTTGATACATGTACACTAAAAGGTACATAAATAAATTCATAAAAAACATAATGAACATATCACTAATTTTATTTTAACACTCCCCTTAATGTCATGTTGTGACGCTCATCAATTCTCTAAAATATTCAAACTTATCTCTTGGAAGTGCTTTGACAAATATGTTCGCAAGTTGGTATTTGCCCTTGCAATATTTGAATTGAATCTCATCATTTTCTTCTTCTTAAATTTCTTCCTTGTCACTTTTTAAATTGCATCTTCAAAGCTTTCTGGTTCAACAACAAAAAATATTGCAACTCCCATACACATCATGATGACTTTTCATTTTTCTTGGAGTTGAACTTGGAGACATTTCTTGTGTAGCTTCAAGAATATTTTCATTTTCTTGATTTTTCGATTCTTTATTGAAAGTGATGACTTGATCTTATACTTTCTTTTCTTTCTAATCACAAGAAGACTTCTCATTAAAGAGAACATCTCCATAAATAATTAATTTATTTTTAACCTTTTGATTTTGAACTATAATTCATAAAAATGCATTTTTCACCGGCTTCATTAAACTTATATCTTACTTCTCTTGAAAAATGAGCAAAAGAAATAGACCCATATACCTTCAAGTAATTCAATGATGGCCAGGGGCGGAGCCGGGGGTAGGCTAAGGGAGGCTTGGCCCCTGCAAGAAATTCATCTTTTATTAGTATGGGTTGAAAAACAGTTTAGTAGAACTTGTGTAAGGTAATGAGTACCTTTGGCCCCCGCAAGAAATTTTTTAGTTTATTCTATATATATATATATATAATTTATTATATCATCTTTACTTCTTTTAACATATTTTAAAATAAAAAATCTTGTTTTTCAGTTTTTCTGAATCTCTTGTTCCCTGGCATGTTTGTTTGTTTATTTATAATATATATTATTTTATAATGCTTTGACCCATTTTTTTTTGTTTGTTTCCTTCGTGTACCTCCACCCTACCTCTTCTTTTCCTTGAAATTTTGGGTTTTTTTTTTTCTTTCCTCGCTGCATAATGCGTATCTCACTCAGTCCATCAGATTCTCTCTTCTCAGTTCTCTCTCACTCAGTCCACTTTGGCCCCCCAGTTACACGATCCTGGCTTCCCCCTGATGATGGCTTCCTTCTGCTCCATGCTTCAAATAGAGTTTTGTTTTTCACCGTTTTTGTTGAACTTCTATTCATCAAGTAAATAGTCGTATTCACGACTTTAGCCCAAAAATATTTAGGCAATTCCTTTTCATGAAACATTGATTTTCAATCTCAACAATTGTTCTATTTCTTCCTTTTGTAAATTTATTTTGTTGTGAAATGTGCCCAACTGTTAATTGTCTCTCCAAGTCAATATCTTTACAAAATTTATTGTTAATTTCATTTGAGTTGTTCTTCCCACCTCTATCATTTTTTAATACTTCGATAAAGTGGCTACTTTGTCTTTTAAACAACTTTTGAAATTTTTTGAAAATAGAGAACACATTTTATTATTGTCTCATGAAATAAATGCATGTAATTCTTATCCATCGAAAAAATAAGTATGCACGTCATTCTTGAAAAATCATCAACAAAAATAATAAAATACTTATTACTCGCGCATGACTTGGTATTGTCATGGACCCACCCCTTCTCTCTCTCTCTCTCCCTCTCTCCTACTACCCTCTCTATTTTCACATGGATTACTTTTATTACACACATCAATTAATAGAAAAAACAGAGAGATTGAGTTAGAATTCAACAATTAAGGAAAATGAGATTGTGGAGGAGCAAAATCATCAGTTATAAGTAGTGCGCATGGATGAATATCATCATCTACCGTTATTTTTCATCATCAATTTATTACAAACAATGGTGCGCCTTATTAAAAGTTAAAATAGTAAAAATTAATTATGATATTCTAGAGGGTATTCTAAAATAAGTAATTTATCAATTTTTTTAGGATATACCAAAAATAACTATTACGGTAAAAAGTTAACATATGAAAATCAAATTAAAATGTGTGTATATATATATATATATATTTGTAAATCTGAGTCATAATAGATTTACATAAAAATTTTAGATTATTTATTTTTAGCATCGGCGTTTTATACCTTTTGTGTAAAAATTCATCCCCTGATAAAAATCAATTAGGGTCATGCCTGGACCCACATAATTTTTACAAACCTACTTAATATAGAGTTTATTCCTTAATGGAATGAGAAAGATAGAGGATAAAGGAAATATGCTAATGTGGTTATGTAAAATGGTTCGGTAAAATATACAATAATTTTATACATTGATGTCATGTTGAAAAAAAAAATAAAATAAAATTACACATTATACGTAACAGTATATATTTTACACAAAAGAGTAATTTAATATACAGAAATGCTCTAAATTATCTTTGCTTTACAAAAACTTTTCAAAAATAATAATTTTAAATTCTAGAGGGTTAATTTTGAAAAAGTAAGACTCTGCAAACAAATATTTATGTTGGGTCTAATAGCCCGTTTGGTATTACTTATCTTCTGTTTAAGCGCTTTTATTTTTAAAAATTGCATTTAGATGTATTTGCTAATCATTAAAAATACTTTTAATGATTACCAAATTTAGCTTAATAGTGTGTTTGAATGAAGCTAGAATAAACTGGTTCAAGTAGAGGTTTTGAATATTTTAAGTAATTATTTTTCATTGGCTAATTATGTCCTTTTTAATTTTTTTTAAAGACAATTACAATCATTATTTAATAAACTTGATATTATCAAATATGGTAACGTTCTTATTATTATAAAATTACGAATAGAGATATGAACAAAATATTGTTAAAAAAATAATTTAATTATAAAAAATACTTATTATAATGTGTCATCAAGCACTTAACATGTTTTTTTGCAAATCTCATTTTTTTGACAACTCTATTTATTCCAACATCAACCCCAAACGTGTTCTAAGAGGAGTATTAGCATATAACTACATAAATTGAAAATTCTGTAATTTAAAAAAGAAATACTCCTTTAATAAAAGGAATCTATAAAGCTTACTTGATCTAAAAGAAAAGAAGCCTATACAGCCATTACCTCAACTATATTATTGTGTATGTCTATATATAAAACACTCTCTTCTCTACACCAAAGAAAAACCTTTGGAAGCTCCAACAATGGCATCATCAAGAGCTCTCACTAGAGTGCACACTCTCATGAATCTCCTCTCTCCAAGGGTTGCCGCTCCATCCTCGGTTCGTGTTCTCAGCTCCGCCACTCTTCGGACGGCCGGTTCAGATTCATTCTTCGATTTCAACTTAGATCGTAATAAGGTCATTTTCCACTACAAATTGTGCCCTCATGGTGAAGTAACAAAAACATAGCACTCAACCGCATGTTTCCG